AGTTCAAAGTTGAATATTCAATAGGTGAATTTGTAAAAACAATTTTTACATTTAATACTTTAATTAATTTATATTACTGAAACCATTTTTATTATAATAAACCTATATTTTGTACAATTTTTGATATTTAACTATCTAAAAATGATGAGATATAAAGTATTAAATATATTTTTATTAATATAAAACAATTTAAATTTAATATATAATTATAAATTTTAAAATTGCATAAAATTAGATAATCGTATCAACATCATATTACTTCAATATAATTGCATCAATTGAAAATTGTCAAGTCACATAATTACATTATATGTATTGTTATAATAAAATAGCAAGTCTGTCGCTAATCTGAAACAGTGCTCTGTTATACTACAGATGAGCTAGGGGTTGTCTGCCTCTAGCTCCTTGAACTACCTTGGGAGTTAGGCCAGCAGTCTTCAATAATCATGCCATAAAACCATTGTAACCTTAACAATTATCCTATTGAGCAAGGGCTTTACTGAAAGGTAGGTTTATTAATATCTTTTATTAATGTTTTTGCATAATAGATTACAGTTTTCGCTACTCTACTGTATTTTTTTTATTGCAATCTATATATATTATTGTTATTCTCCATTGCCAGTAATCTACTACTATTTATAGTAGTGCCAACATGTCTATTCCCACCTACAATGTGTCCTGCAGCTGGCTGATGCATAAACTGATGCATCAATGACAACACACTATGGCAAAGTCTAATTTACCATACAAATCAGAAAAGTATCTATAACTACTTATATAAAAATATATAATTTTTATGTCAACAACATTTAATTGCACCAAAATTATATAATTGTATCATAATTGCATCATGCATCACATTAATTATGCCATTGTAAAATTTTTAAATAATTGTGTCACTAGTAAATCAATTTCTACTACATGTATATTTTGAACTATTCTTACTATTTATATATAAAAAATATTGATGTTTTAATATATAATAGTATCCAAGTTCTTGTAATAATTGTATTCGCAATCCTAGGGACAGCTGTGTTAAGTGAAAATTATATTTTCTAATAATCAGACAACAATTATTTAAATGAGTTCAAAATATTCCTTGATATAAACCAAGTCAAACCATATCAAATAAGTTGCCTGTTAACTTTGTAAATTCAAAAATCTTAAGTACAAATCAACCTTAACTCTTTCTATTAAGAATAGTGTTTTTTATCCTTTCCATTAAGAAAAATATTTGTCATCCTTTCTATCAAAAAAAACATTTATTATTTATCTTATTAAGAAAAATGTTTATCACCCATTTTATCAAAAATAGTTTTTTTTCAGTTATTCTTTGCATAAAAAATCTTTTGTCTAATGATTCTAATGATTCTGTATTTAATTCCATTCAATTTCAACTTTTATAGTAAATTTAATAGATTGGTTATAACCCACTTATATTTTTTATATGTATGTGAGTCTATCAAATCTAATAATTCCAATTTTTGGAACCATACTTTTGTTATATTTAAAAGCAACCATATTTCTAATTTTATATATTTATTTAAATAAAATAATAAAAAAATTAAAAGTATTAATTTAAGATAAAATTCAATTTTTTCTTGCTTATTTTTGATTAAATATGATTAATATGAGATTCGATTTCATAATGATTATATTTCTGAATTATATTAGGTTTTCTTTGAATTAACTCATCCCACTTTTTATTATTAAATTGATTTTTATTTTTAAAAATAATGACAAATCCATAATAGAAAATAAGTTAGACTTAAAATAATTAAAAATATTATTAATTATATTATAACTTACTCATAAAGTGAAATAGATTTATTTGTACAATATTTTATCAAAATAGATAAGAATAACAAATTACTTGATTTCTATTGGGACAATAATTCTTTTTCAATTTCTTACATTTTCTTTTTTATTATACTTATTTTATCCTTTTAATTAATATATAATAATTATTTACAAATAAAATACAGTATAATGCTTTAATATTTATATAAATTTATATAATATCAAAATCATTGTTATTTTTTGAATAATATTTATTTTAAACTAAAAAGAGAAAAATTTAAGTGCTTATTATTATTTAAAATATTTTATTAAAAAAAACAATAAATATATTATACTTGTTTTTCTTTCTCTTCTAAAATAATAATTTCTTCATAGCATTCAGATGGGCAGTTATTTTTTACACTTGTATTTTCTACATATATTTCTGATATATTTGTCTTCAATTTAGATTTTATAAGATTTTCAAAATATTGCAAGAATTTTAATTACATTCATTATATATTGTAAATTGGTTTATATATTGTATATATATTAAACAATAATAATTAATATATATGTTTATTAAGTTTATTAAAAAATAAGATAGTTTTTCCAGATTGAAATAAAACATCTGCATTTTTATTTAACCTAAGAGCTTTGCACTTTGCTTTTTTGAATATTAATAGATCCAAAATTATTGAAAGCAAATAATTCTTATATTTGTAAAGAACTGTGTTATAATAATTCACTGTCAACTGTATATCCCCTTTTTCAAGTATTCAAAACAAACTTTGTATTTATGAAATAGAAGAAAATTTTATTTGAAATAGCTGACTATAAAAAAAAATTAAATAATATAAGAAATCACAGTAATGATGATAAGTTTCTTTTCAAAACATTTATTTATTTGCGTATCAATTATTTTTAACATAATAATAATTACATGAATTGCTTATTGATTTCATTGATATAATATATAAGTCAATCAAATTTAAATTTATATATATAGACTGATATTTTAAAAATAATTTCATAAAAATATACATTGCATTAATAAACAATTTAAATTTTAAAATTCTTAATTTTGTAAAATATCTTTAAAAAAATTAATATAAGTTGTAAATATTTTTTGAATAAAAAGTTTCACTAATGGATTATTGGAAAAATCATATTGTTATCTGGCAAAGTTATAAGGCAGTTGCATTACATATCTTGAAATTAAAGTAAATTAATTATATAAAGTTAAAATATAATAATAGGAAAGTTTAAATTGCTTATCGTAGTATTATTATAATCCACTATATTTTTTTGCTCAAATAGTTTATTTTTCTCTTAGTAATATAATACTCTCTAATATAAAACAAAGACCTGTAGCAATATTATAGTAGTTTAGAAATGTAATAGTAATTATTATTAAAACAATATTTAAGTTTGGTTACTATAAAAATATATATCAATTAATAAACTTACTTTTTCAAGTATGTACCATTTAGGAAATATTCACATCAGAAGAAAAGAAGTAATTTCAACTTATTATGAAGAAACCAGTACTGAAAAAAAATTTTTATTAGTAAAATAAAACCTTGGTCAAATTAATCACACATATTTCACTTATTTCAAGATATACAGTATAATCTTAGTCTCAAAGTAACAAACTCATCAATTTTCCAATCCAACAATATATCTGTATTATACTATATATATATGCCTTTGCCTTTAATCTCAACTCATTTTTTACATACATGATTATTTGTTAGATCTTGGGTTGCATTTGTATTATTATGTTAAATAAGTTAATCTATATACTGTATATTCATTAATATATGGTATATAATATATATACACTGTATATACAAATTAATAATCATTAATAACATATCTTTATACCAAAAAATGAAATAACTTTTATAGTTTAATAGAGTGACTATAACTATTTAATTAATAAAATAAAGAGATATTTCATTTCAAAGATTGTTTATTATATAAAATCTATAGAAATTCAAAGTATTTTACAATTTTATGAGTCAATTATATGGTCATGTAATCTTTAATATTCAACATTTTTGAATTATAACATTCCTTTTTATAAATAATATTTTCAATAATATTTTCATAAAATAATGTTAAAATAATGTTAAAAGAAGATAAAATAATAATATAAAAATATATAAAAATAATATATATAAATAATAATAATAAGCATAATAATAAGATAAATACTATTTTCATTAGAACAGTTAACATACTTACAACAAGTATAAAAAAATACTTTAGCAAAGATATACATAATAATAAAAATAATAAAATAATAGAAGATTCTAGAGGTAACAAATGTGACAATGGTAAAGACAAGAAGGATATGATCAGTAATACAAAGATTATTCTAAAATAAATATTAAAAATATTAATGAAAATAGTACAAGAGTCAATATAGATCATGAGCAAAAATCATGTACAGTATAACAATACTGTATATATTATCAAACAAAAACCTACCTAACCTAGCTATTTGTAATTTTAAATCATTCCTTAATATCATACAAAAGAAATGAGAAAAAATCTTCAACTACATACTTAAAATTCTTTACAATAATATTTTTGTTAATTTTATAGTTTATATAGTAAGAAAGGGTTATGTTACTTTTTTTCTAAAAAAATAAAATTTCATGTCATCATACAATATTTAAATAAATAAAAACTAGTATTAAAAAATTTTAATTGAATTATTTGTTACTTATGAGAGCCACGATAATTATAAAATTTTTTAGATTAATTTTTACTATAAATATTTTATTAAAGAATTATAATAATAGCTAATGGATTTTTATCAAAAAAAATCTTTATGATTTTCCACACATTTCTTATAAAAAATTATTATAAAGAAACATCAAAATTTTTCATCAAAATAAAGAAGCAAAACACTTTGAAGTTGAACATATATTTTTGAATATACTCAATACAGATGTTCAAAAATCATCTGCTACAAAAACAAACAAAAACAAAAAAATAACAAGGTTTTTACCTATATCCTTCGGCCTTCTTTAACTTGGACATATTATTCCAGACTGACTAATGTCTAGTAAATCTGAAATCAAAAAATGCAGCACGAGAACATCCCGTGTCGTTTTGCAAATGCTTTCATTATCAATACGTAATGAGTCTTTACATTTTTCTATGAATACGCATATAGAAACTATCTTATAAAATCATTCTTACACATACTAACTAGAGCAGTCGTGCTGAACCCGGCCGACTATGTCAACCGGGTGAAGTATGACGAGTATAATAATAGTCTAAGCAGAATTACTAAAATAAAAAATGTAAGTCAAAATATACTGATTAGAAAAATATAAAAATTTATTTAATTTGGTTTACAAAAATAAGAAAATCAAGATACATTTGCATAAATATCAGTTGTATGTGGTAGACATTGATTAGCTAACATATGTAAACGGCTATACTCTTCAATTACGCTTGGATCAGTAATAAATGCATCTTTGTATAAGGAAGCTATGTTAAGATTGTCCCATGTTGGACAGCGACTGATAGATACATAAGCTTGGCCTGCTGAAAACATGTGACTGTCTAGAATTAACGTGACATTAGGTAATGTAAGGCCTTGCGTTTTATGTACTGTTAATGCAAATGCATTCTGAAGAGGGAATTGAGTACGTGATGCCGGTTGGCCTGCTGCATAGAAGTAAGATGTATAGCGAGATATCCAACAGTGTATTATTCCAATTTTAATACAAAATGCTACTTGAACGGTTAGTGTCTCTTTGTCAAAATCGGTAATAATTCCGATTGTTCCATTGCAAATGCCCTTTTCTATCAAAGAATTATTTAGAAACATTACTCTTGCTCCCTGTTGTATATGTAATAAAGGAGGTAAGTTTGTTTTTAGTTTAAAGTCAGATTGTGTAATTTCAGTTGGCTGTTGAACACTGTTGATGTAATCTAGTGCCTCACAAATCATAAATTTATCATTCTCTACAGGCAATACATTATTTATAGTACGATTTAGTTGATCAGCTGTTTGTTTATAAGATATGATATGTGTAGTCGTTATGAGAGAAGATAATGAATGTTGAGGTTTATAAGAATTTGCTTTTTGTAGCAAGCTATTCCACGTTTTCTCAGAAATATTTCCAAATCTTATTTCTTCCAGCATTTGATAAAAATGAGTATTTGCTTGGTGTCGGTGTGGCTGATTGAGAAAGAATGGATAAAATAAATGCCAAATAGACGAATGAAAGACATATTCGCCACGTACAGGTGGTAATTGTGCTAAATCTCCTACAACTATAACATTTATGCCTTCAAATGCTTGAGTACTGTTGTGAATCGATGCAAATAGATTTGAAATAAATGTAAATAGTGAAGCTGAAACCATTGAGACTTCATCAATAATAAGTGTTTCAATTTCTGCTAATTGATTATTGAAATCTTTATCATAAAATGCCAGAGTTTGATACCCAGCTTCTGTCTGATGAATTCGTAAAGCTGAATGTATTGTTGAACCACCTACGTTTAAAGCTGCAACACCTGTTGGTGCTAAGAGAAGACATTTCATTTTTTTGGTTTGCATTAAATAGTTAGCTATGATGTTGGCAATATATGATTTGCCTGTTCCAGCAGAACCTGTTATAAAAAAATAAGGATATTTCTTTTTTGATATTGAACCAAGATTTTGAATAATAGTATTAACAACTTGGTATTGATCTTCAGGTAAATCAAGCATAACAGTCTTTGGTAGCATAGGTGGTAAGTGAATTAGGGATTCAATTTGGGCATTCAGAATTTTGGTAATGTTTGGACTTATAGTGATTTTAAATTCATTAAGTAAATGTGCTATAAAGCTATGAAATTGAAGTTGGGTTTGAGCTTTAAGATTGGAACTTGATGCTTCGATAGCTAATTCTATATCAGGATTTAAATGTAAATAATGTGTACGGTAAGATTGAAATTTACCAAGTAGTTCTTTTTCAGATTGACAAGGCAGTGTGCAAAGTAATTGTTGATAGAAATATGCTTCTCTATCATCAATTTTCAAGTATCGAAACCTAACAACAATTGGAGAAGAACGTCTAATAACAAAATTATTAAGTTGGTCTTTATAAATTTCTGAATTTGCAGAGTTATTGGATTTTGTAGAGATGCTATAATTTCTGAAATAATTCAAATAAGTGATTTGCTGAAAACACAGATCTAATGGACGAGCGAAATATTTGTCTATATTATCATTCCAATAAGGATTATTTTCATTATCATCTATCAAAAAGATAGGTCGGATGGCACGAGATCTCATATCAGGCATCTCTGTAGTTAAATATTTTACTGCAATAGATGAATCACATATTCTTTCCCCTAGTAGCAAAAACATACATTCCATTGAACCTAAACGTCTGGCTATTACATGTTTTTGATATTTATCATTATCTGTTACATTAAAAATATGTGTTGGTTCTGGTTTTACTACATACTTTGTGAGATATTTTTCCAGACCACGAGAAGTGACATACTGAGCATTCATGTGAGCATTCCAAATTAGTAAAGTTTCAGGATGATATGGAACTACCCACTGATCTTCAGGAGTGATACAATGATAAATGTAACGTAATTGCTCTGATTTGTAATATGTTACTGGAGAGTAAGGTCTTGGAAAACCACGTTTGCATTGTTGTCCTGGTGGAGCTGGTCCACCACATCGCTGAGGGCTACATGTATGTATTTGATGCTTAATTACCTTTTCACATAATTCTGGTTCATTTTGTTTGTCAGGCAAGTCCGATCGAATAATGTGTTCATCTATCATATTATCAATTGATTTGGAAACCCAAAGGCATGTATGAATATGCGCAGCACCTCGATTCTGAAATTCAATTCTTTCAAAAAAGTGTAACAATTCACCCCATTTGCTGATTTCTGGTTGTTTCCATACGTATTTTTTCAAATTTTGTTTGAGATTAACAAAATATAATGTGGTATGTAAGGGCCGATTAGTAGGTAGAGTATCTCTATTGTCAGTAGATTTTAAAATTTCTTTGAGATGAGTCCACTTCCCTTCTGCCATGGAGAGTGTAAGAAACAATGACGGTAGACTATAATGTTCAATCATAGCATTTATATGTAATAATTTTTCATGAAAGTACGAATCACCAGTTCGAATAAATGTGGGTAAAGTAACTGTTTTACTTTCATCAATAATCCGATTTCCAGTGTAAATACTTCGTGTAATTAATTCGGCTGTATTCAGAGGTTTATATATAGTATCAGTTTGTTTTTTACACCATATTCGTTGCATATTTTGATGGTTTCTTAATTTTTCTAATTGTAAATATGACCAAAGTGGCCAATATGGATGCAAACGAAATCTGGAATCGACATATAATAATCTGTGTTTAATATATTTTCCATAGGTTATACTATTCTTATTATGAATTTTTATTTCATTATAATGACCATGTCCATCGGGAAAAATATCAGGAAATAAAAGCGGTTCAAGTTCTGGATTACTAAAAGATAATGGCAATTTTGTCGAATTTGATGTTTGAACAAAGCCAGCTATAAGTCGAGTGTAGTGAAAGTCTTCGTTGTGTATTTCAATTGAAAAATCTAAATTTGGAAGTACAACACTATTTTCATAGACAGGTGGAATATCAGAAGAGATATTTGAATGTTCAGCAAAAGGAAATGGTCTTGATGGATAAGTCAAAATATTATTGGATGTTACAAGTAGTTTTGCATAAGGACGTATATAACAGTTATGAAGCTTTAACCATTCTGCTGCCAATTGTAATTCTCGAGTGCACCATGTATTTTCACTACATTGAGGATTGTTCACTGTCATAAATGCACCCATAGACCCAGAATAGAGTTGCAATGCACGCATATTTTTAGAAAATTTCATATCACCAGTAAGAATACGATATTCTGAAAAGGGATTATCTCCTGAATTACGTCCAAGAGAACAATGTAAAAACACAGGAGACAGAAAACGTCGTTGCATTAAAGGTATTGATAAGATTTGTTGAGGAATGGGATGTAAAATAGGACAGTATATTGTTCGTTTATTTGATTTGCACTTGCTACACACTGGTATTTGAACACAATTTTTAGTTTTTTTCAAAATAAATTGAGCATTTGAACAATATTCTTCGATTGGATAGTTTGTATTACTGTCATAGGGTTTCCATTGTGTTTTTGCAGGGTACATGAGTTTTCCACAATATGCACATGGTATACATGAATGCTGATATAAAATTGAATTTGTAAATCGTGTATAAAGTTTGCGCAAACGAGTAGTTGGTCGCCATTGTAGTATTGGTGAAGACACAACACTAGTGTCTGAAATTAGAGTATCAGATGCACTTGCGTTGCTAGGTATAACTATTTCTGGAATAGACAAATTTGAAGATTGATATTGATCAAATGTGTATGTATGAAAATTATGTAACATTTTTAGTTGCAGGTAATAACGAAGAGATAAAATTTATAGTTACAGGTAATAACGAAGAGACAAAATTTATAGTTACAGGTAAAAAGATATTTATAATGTAATAAAACTTTTGCTATAATGTCGCTAATGTGGTGTGATAGAAAGTATAAGTAAAACGGTGATAATATTTAGTATACTATATATAACAGTATATGTGGCGTGATATTAGAGTAATGCAAATTATGTGAGATTAGTTAAACAAAAAATTTTACAGCCTAAAAGCGTAAGATGTAATATAAAAATAGCCTATATAAAGTAATTTATTATTATTATATTAAAAAATAGTTACGTAATGTTCATATCTAGTGATGTTATAACTCCACCTATATCACGCCACTTTAATAAAACTTACATTATTATATCTTACAACTTATTGATTATGACAAATTTCAACACATTACTTTGTTAATCTCGCAATTAATTGTGGCTGAAATTGTCACACCACATTTTATGCATATCTTACAACCATTGATTATGGCAAATTTCAGTGCGTTACTTTGTTAATCATACCACTGATTATGATATAACATTATATAGTTGTAGCTTTGACCATACCACATCGAGATTATACTATCGCTTATTATTATATTTGAGTTTAAGTCATTCAATTCAGAACTGAAGTAATTTCTAACTGAAGCATAACATTTTTATTATCATTGTCTAATAATTGACTACAATAGCATAGAGTGGTTTTGATCACATTTTTATTATTATTAATAAATGATTACTATATAGTTGTAGCTAAAGATGGGTCCCTAAATTATTTGTGAGGACATAATTCAAATGTCCCTTATTATTAAAATTTTTCATTTCTATATTAAAAAATAAAAAAAAACTATCTACAAAGGTTCTTTATAATTTTAAGCATCTATACAAATCATTTCTGGAATTATGTCCCTATTGAAATAAAGAGCTAGGAATTATGTCCTCTAGGGGACGTGGACGTAAAGGGACATAAATTTTATATGCTAAATACTTTAGGGACCCATCTTTAGTTGTAGCAATATTTATATTACGCTATATCAATATTATAATATTGCTACTTGTATAATTTCATTATAAATAAATTAAACATTATATATTAATTATAATACAAATAATATAGATATTATATTACTTTGAAATTCAAACTATTTATTTATTTAAAAAAGTTTATATACAAGAAAAAAAGTGTGTAAATACATAACGAATTTTGTACACTATAGTAAATATACTTCTCCGCACAAAAAAAATATGTATAAAAAATAAGCCATATAGGCAAGTATATTAACATATAAAAATATTAAGTTAAAACTAAATAATAAATTTAACTCAATTAATTTTTTTGGTTTTTATTTGGTTCATTATTATCCGAATCCATTTTGTCTGCTTGTCGTTTCTTAATTATTGATGCAGCAATACTTCCTGTTGACACTTTTTCTATAACTTTTCTTTTGCCTCTTGTAATCTTCTTTTGTGGCAATGATGGTATTGTTGGTGGCGTGGACATTTGTTCATTGTGTAATTTTTGAATACGTTTTGCAACTGATGATTTGGTTGTTATTTTATCTTTTGTAGACCAGGGATTATATGAATGTATCAAATCATCAGATCGAATTCCAACAAAAGAGAAATCTAAAACATCACAATAAAGAATACTTTCATATATAAATAAAATTCCTGTGAATTGGACTGTTGCATTTTTTTGAGCAGCAGTTATAGATTTTGAAAGTCTGCCAGTTGTGGGGTGCGTTACTATTATTTCATGTACTGGTTTTTCTCCCTTTCGGATATATTCAGATACTGTTACCAAAAGTCTTAGTCCATTATTAGTGACAGATGGTACACTCGTAACCTTTCCAATAAATTTAGCAATCATTGGTGCTTCGGGACATTCTGCACTGTCGATCGGAAGTAGCACATGTGAAAAAATTACCAGATCAAGTGAATTATCGTTAACCAAGTATGAGAATTTTCCATGGATAAGATACACTGCATTTGTTTGTAATGCGCCACCAGTTAAAGGTTCAAAAGATTCTTCACTACTGTCAACTGTTATTTCTGGATCAGGAATAAAGTATGTAAAATGTATTCGCTGTGGTTCTCTATCAGGTATGTGGCTAAGCCCTATTCCTCTTTGTATTGTATAATTATTGACTGCTTCTATATTTTGTTCGACGATATACACAATTAATGATATGGAAGCAGGCATTTTTTGTTTTTGGTACTAGATTTTAACAGGGGTATAATTTTATAAATATGTATTTATTGGATGTTGTTTTTTATTTATTTAGAATCAGAATCTGTAGATATAATGCGGAAAAAAATGATGCGGTACAACTGTATTTATAAGTTTGGGATTGAATAGTGAAATTTTAATAACGTACAAAAAATAATTTTTCATTTTCGAATCTAATAATAATTATAGCAAATTTCCTTACGTCGTCATTTATTATAGGGTTGTCACACCACTTATCGCGGCTGAAATTTATCACACCACCCATTGCGACTAAATTTTATCATGCTACTTGTCATGACTGAAATTTTATCACACCACTTATCGCGGCTGAAATTTTATCACACCACCCATTGCGACTAAATTTTATCATGCTACTTGTCGTGACTGAATTTTATCACACCACTTATCGTGGCTGAAATTTTATCATACCACCCATTGTGACTAAATTTTATCATGCTACTTGTCGTGACTGAAATTTTATCACACCACTTATCGCGGCTGAAATTTTATCACACCACCCATTGCGACTAAATTTTATCATGC